TTTCAGACGCCTTAGTTTTCCTATGGACCTCACATCCCCAACACTTGTTCAGTACCCGAAACTCTAGACTCAGGAGGCTGATCTCCTCTCCCTTTAAGCCCTGGAAATATTCTTCTTTCCTTATAAGTACATATTCAGACCCACACATTACTTGCCCAACCCGGCACTGCTGTATGCCTTTGTGCCAATGCTATTAGATACCTACCTCCACCTGTCTGCCCCATGACTGAACTCGACCAACAGGCCACTTACCATATTTTGGCACATCAGAACCATCCACCACCAGTTTACAGAATTATGTTTAGCAAGTTCCCGGCAACAACAAATAAATAATGGTTCAACAGAGCAATGTTAATAATTTATTTTATTATGATTTATTAGACCAAAATTCTGCATAATGAGAGAGAAGAAAACGATTGTCAAGAACCCAAGACAAGGAGTGAGGCTGACTGGCAAACCCAGAGCTACCGGAGGTTTATAGCAGAATGCAAAGATCTGAACCTTTCATAGGTTCCAGCTTCCCCTAATTTACTGACCACCCAGCTGACCATTTCCCCTCTTGTTCTGAAAACACTCAACGTAAAACCACTTGTGCCGGGAAATTGGCACCTGTTTGCCTGTAGTGAGTCATTCTGCCTTGCAGCCTTGTTTTTCTCAGAAGTTGGAGGGGGTGGTATTTATCATGGAGCCCTGGCTTCATTTAATTTTTGACATCCTAAGAAGGCAATAAATTTTCAAAATAGCTCTGGTGCCAAGCAAGATTTTAAAAGTTAGAAAATTCTTGACCAACCCAGAATAATAATCTGACCCCAGAATAACAGAATCAGCATTGCTTATAAATTAGAATTCTCTGTTTAAAAAAAAAAAACACTTAATGATAATATATGATACACCACCACTAATGAGAGGAATAAGCAATCATAAACCAATAATTCTGTGATTGATTAGCCTTTCCTGTACATATATCAATGAGTCATTGATTTTCTGTGTTAAGAACTGATCAATTATTCTCCTGTAGTAGAATCATGTTGTTTACAAAGCCTGCTGGAAATGACCTTAGGATGTTGAAAAGTAGAAAGATATAAGAAATTTTCAGGGACTTCTGTCCCATTGAGGCCTAGGGGAACCCTGTTAGAGAGGACAGAGAATTTCCAGGAAGGAAGTTTTTGTCATTAATGTCCTCAAGAGCAATGAGAGTGTCAAATAACCCATTCCAGAAACCATCTTGTGGGTTTGGAATGAAGCCCTCAGAAGACACAACCTTCCAGTCCCTGTCTAGACGGAATAAACCAGCTTAGTTGTCTCTTATGCCAAGGAAGAAATGGTCCCTTCAGCAGGGAAGGTGCAACTCATTGTGGAAGCCACAAATCACACTGGGAAAGCCAAGCCTGAAAACATAGAATCCGAACTCTCCTTTTGCCCCAAGAAAGCAAGACTAGGCTGGATTGATGAGATAGGCCCAGGCCTCCAAGACCACAGAGGCTTCGTTTTCCTCTTACCCTAAAGGAGGATAGAGAAATGCCTTTTGTTGGAACAGCCCAGGACTCACTGAGCCTGGAAATTGAATTCTCATCCCAGGACAGAGTGGTCATTCCAGGTCATGTCTGTGCTACTCCAGGGGAGCAGTGTAAGAGATTATACAAATAGGAACCAGCAGGGAGGAGAGAAATTAAAATGCAGCAATCACGTAGTGGGGGTATTTAATCTCTTTTAAGTCTTATGATGGGCGCCTGCTGTTTTTCCCCTGATATCCCCTGACACCTACTGACAGGGTATTTGCAGCACCATACAGGGACTCAGGGCTCTGTGACAGGAGGAGCACTAAGGAGGTCCGTGATAGTCTTGAAGCTATAAAGAGCGACAGGGAAACCACTTGAGGCAGATTCAAGCTGTGTGATCCGCCCGTTGTTGGTGGCCATACTGGTTTTTTGTTTATAGAATTTGCTGTTCTTTTTTATGGCAGGTTTGGTGGGGCCTTTTTTCCTTGTTGATGGAGATTAGCTGCATAAATCCTTTTATGGGAATGCGCGTACCCCATAAACTCGGTTGATGGTTGCTGATGAGGAAGGAGGAGGACTGCGTCTATTTCAGGTTGCTCTTCCATACAGAAGCTGCTCTGTCCTCCAGCCAGAGATAACCGGAACCAAACAGCCATTCTTTTTCCAGTTCTTTCATTATTTGGGTAGAAGGAGGGGCACAGGGTGAATGAAGAGCTGGGAAGAGGTTAATTGAGCCTAAAGCTTTTTATGGTGAGAGGAGTCATTAAAATAAAAGCTTCTAAAAATGTAGCGTGGCCGGAAACAGGGACAGCTATGGAAATAACGTTTGTACTCTTGTAGTCTTACCTGGGAACCTTTGTGGTTGACATCTCTGAGTTATAAAGGTGCCAGACCTTGGGATAACACGCCTACCCGTGTGCATGAAGTTACCTCTACCTGTATATGTTAAAACACACGAGCCCTAGTGCATAGTGCCTTGAAAGCTGAGACATGGTGCTCACTCCCTTCGTCTGGGTGAGGGTCCATTCCCTGTTAAGGGTTAAGGGGCTTATGTTAGCTTAGAGCCAATCTTTCCCAATATCCAGATGGGGAAAATTCAGACTGTGGTGGGATCATTGATTCCAGGAATCCTGTCCTCCCTTGCTACCCAAAAACTAAAATACAAGAATCAGCAACTTCATCCAAACTCGAGTAAATTAACACCTCCAGACAAGAGCAGAGTTCACTCTGCGCTGGGGTCTGCCTGGCTGAGCCAGTGTTCTCTTCGTTTTAATAGTTTAATAAAAATTAGCATAATTAACGAACATCTGTATGATCCAGAGTGGTGCAATTTGGCACTTGGAAACGAGGGCTTAAACATGATTGCTGTGAGTTTAATGTTGTTTTAATTCTTTCTGGCACTGTGCAGTGAAATAAACGTTTGGTGGTGATCGTGCTCGGCCGGATCTAATTTGCATTTTTCTCCCTTTGATTATGAGCAATTGTGGACTCCCCAGCAATTCATCAAAGCAGAAATTATTTTAAAATACCTGGTGGTGTTCTGCCTGGGCTAGAGAAGTGCATGGGGGGGAGGGGTGAAGGAAAAGGCTTAGTTTTCCCCATTCATGCTTTGAACATCTCAGCCCCATAGCCCTTCTGGTACTCTGCCAAGGGACAAAACCTGAAAGAGGCAGGCAGATTCTGGGCCCACTAGGTCCCCAGATTAAGTTCCCAGGCTCTGATGGCAGGATGTAGTCTCTGAGGCTCAGTACTATCCTTCTTGCTTTGCTGTACGTTTCTTTTTGTTTTCAAGGACTGGGGGGCTTTTTCCACTCATTTCAGTTATTGCCACTGTGGTGATGCTGCTGCATCTGAAAACAGTAGGGTCCAGCGTTCACCTCAAGCAAAACAACACTAACTTGGAGCAGGGCACCTCTGTGCTGTCCTTCAGAGCCTCATCTGCTTGCTCCCTCTTTTCATTGACAGAGAATAGCTTCCCCAAGATCTAATCCCCACTGACCCAGCATCATCTAAGGGGGAGGCCATGAAGCATAAGCCTAGGGCCCTGCCTGAACTCCCAAAGCAGGCATGCCACATCTGCGACAGTATCTGGCAGGTAAATCCTGAATCTGTAACACAGAGTGAAGCCATTTTGATCTGGAAGATCTCAGACCACTTCGTACCATTAAGCCTCCAACCCCCTGCTTATGAGGTAGTAAAAGGGCTAAGATTACAGTTTTTACTTCCTCTGGTATTGAGATGAAGAGCCCTGTGGACTTGAGTGCTACAACCAGGTGGTAGGAGATAGCACAGAGCAGAATTACAGAGATAACCAAGTAGAGAAGGCCTTAACTCTTGTACAACTAAGTTGGTATAGAGTAAGGTGGAGAAAGGAAGTGTTAAGACAGTACAGACAAGCCCAGAAGAGGGATCACCTTGCACCTCCAAACAAGGTAACCTTAGGCTTAGTGGAGGGAAGAGAAGGAGGCAGGGGGTGGGCAGAAAGCATTAGTTCAGGTATATTTTTTTCTTTTAAGAGCTTCTGATCACAACAAAGAAAATATTTCCCAGCACTTTCAGGCCCAACCCCTCTGGCAGAATGTGTGCTTTTCTCTGGTGCTGGAGGAGTCATTTGAGAAGACTGACTGTCTCCAGGGATGGCTCCAGCTGCTCTCTTCCTGCCACCTACCTTGGAGCTGTAAGCCTACTCAATCACCAGGGGAAACTACCAGAGATATAACTAAGTCTGCTCTTTAGAAAAATGTCAAACCTTCATCTAGAATGTAGCCTTTGTATTACCTTGGTGATGGGTCATAATTCAGAGCTTCTTCAATAACCCCAGCAGGTGTAGAGAGGTAGCTTTCCGTTGCATAAATGTAATCCCAGAGATCAGGAAAGTAGGCAGTAAAAGGAGACAATACTGAAAATGCTCAGGTTGTTTGAGTTGGAATAGACCTAGAAGACGAAGCAGGGGGTTGTTGAAAGAGCAATGGATTTGAATCAGGCAGACCTGAATTGGAAATCCCTTCCCCACTTTTCAACATTTACTAAATGTGCGACAAAAGGCAAATCATTTAACCCCTAACCTAAAATGAGGCGGTTCGATTGGATAGCTTCCGAACTCCAGCCGTTACCCTCATCTCCCTCCCACCAGAACTCTGGACTCTGACCCTGGGATGATGCTGCACTCTGAAAGCAAGAGTTTGCCTCATCTTGCCCAGAACCAGGCCTCCACTGTCTCTTCTGGAACAGCTCCACACCAGACCCCTGCTCAGGTGCTCACTCTCCCTTTTCCAGATCCCCTTTGTATGTTATCCCCAACTAGAATGTAAGCCCTTTGAGGGCAGGGACTATTTTACTTGTATCCCCAGAGCTTAGCACCGTGCCTAGCACACAGTAAACAAATAAATGCTCTATCTATTTTATCTATCGCCTTTCAGTTTTCACTTGTGAGTGTTGTAAGAGGCTGACAGCAGCATGGCCAGATCCCAGCAGTGACTGTCTTCCCTCCCTCTCTTTTAGGAGTATAACATGTATGGCTGGTGGGTAGGAGAACTGAACAACCTCATCGGGCTCGTTCCAAAGGAATATCTCACATCTGCCTTTGAAGTGGAAGAAAGATGAAGCCTACCAGGTATGGGGCCTTATCCAGAGAACTCCTGCCAGTGAATGCAGACATATGTGGTCTAGTTCCTTTCATTCACTGCAGAAAGAATAGAGTTCTCAGTAAAATGACCTACCACATCATATAGAAAGATATTTCCTTCATCAGCCAATATTAGCCAATTAATTCACCCTCCATAAGAGATGAGCTTGGGATTGTTTTGTTTGTTTCTGGTTTGGTCATTTTTAGTCAAACCAAATTCAATTCAACAAACATTTATTGAGAGTCTACTATGTGCAATACCTAGTGGATAAAGTGCAAGTCTGAAAGGGCAAGAAGACCTGAGTTCAGATCCTGCCACTGACAGTTTTCACTGAACCTTTCAGCACTGTAAGTATCTCTCAAAGAGAGTTGGGAAGTGCTGATGGGGCATTGATAGGGGAAATTCCTCACTGAGAGCTCCCTATACCAATGAAATCTTAGATCCTGTAAAGACTTTATACGAGGCACAATGGGGAAACAAAGGAAAAACGAGTTCCAGACATTAAGGAGTGTGCTTCCTACTAGAGGGATACAAATGGATACAAGTAATAGATAGAAAATATATTTAAAGTTATTTCAAAAAGGAGAGAATGTGAACTACTGGGGAGATCAGGCATGGTCTTGCATAGAGGTGGCACCTGAGATGGGCATCTTTGGAACAAGAAGGATTCTATGAGGCAGAAAGGAGTACACTACAGACATGGCAGACCACCTGTGCAAAGGCACGGGGACGGGAGATATGTATGGACATGTGTATGTCAGCTATGCACATCAGCTAGCCAGCCAGCTTGACCAGAAAAGAGTGGGCATGAAGGGAAGCAATATGAAACAAGGCTGAAAAGGTATGCTACACTTTCTCCTGGGACCCCTTATTACCATCTACGTACACTTTATCTGTGCCTTGGAATAGAATGAAGTCCACCAGTCTCGATGGCAGCAAACCCAAAAGTTTGTCAAGACTTGATGAGTATGAATTATACTAAGTCACCAGATTTCAAGTGGGGTGTGTCCCCTCCAATCTTCCCTTTTGGGGCAACAAGTGGGAAGTGAAACAGTAATAAAACAATCCCATTTTCACCTCAAAATTTATCCTCTCGCTCCTCCCCAACACTTTTAAGATTGATCTTTCTATGGCAGCTAAGTGGCGCAGTGGATAGAGCACTGACCCTGGATACAGGAGGACCTGCGTTCAAATCTGGCCTCAGACACTTGACACTCAGTAGCTGTGTGACCCTGGGCAAGTCACTTAACCCCATTGCCTAACCAAAAAAAAAAAATTGATCTTTCTACCAGACAGCCCCACTTTTCCTGTTGTTGTTGTTGTTGTTCAGGTATGTGTGAGTCTTCATGACCCCATTTAGGATTTTCTTAGCAGAGATACTGGAGTGGTTTGCCATTTCCTTCTCTAGCTCATTTTACAGATGAGGAAACTGAGGCAAACAGAGTTAAGTGACTTGCCCAGGGTCACACAGTTCCAAAGTGTCTGAGGTCAGATTTGAACTCAGGTCTTCCTTACTCCAGACCCAGTGCTCTATCCACTGCGTCACCTTTCCCGACCTAGGATCTTGAATTTTGGATTTAGAGGCAGAAGGAACCTTAGAGATTATCTGCAACCCATTTATTTTGTAGATGAGGAAAATGAGTCCCAGAGAGACTACTAAGTTAATAAGATGCATACTCAGGATCTGCACCTTGGTCCTGTGACTCTGAATCTAGTGCTCTTTCTACTTCACTTCATTTCCCTTTAAATTATAACAAAGAACTGGGTCTGATGGAGAATGCCTGCAATCCCTGCTGCTGGAGAAGCTTGAATTGAAGAGTTCTGAGATGCCTCTGCTAAAGTTGATCAAGTGTTTACACTAAGTTTAGCAGCAGTATAGTGAGCTTCAGCGAAGGGGGTGCCTCAGACTGGCTAGGAAAAGTAGAACAAGTTAATCAGTATTGATCAGGCCCCTGAGGGGCTCCTGCACTTCCAAGCTGGGCAAGAAAGATGATGGAGGGAGGAAGGAAGAGAGAGGCAGAGAGACAGAGACAGAGAGAGGAAAGAAGGAAGAAAGGAAGAGAATTGTAACGGAGAAGGAGAAGTTAAGTTGCTGGTTGATCTGATTTTTAAATCACAGCAGATAGAGCGCAAGGCCTGGAGTCAGGAAGACCTGAGTTCAAATTTGGCCTCAAATACTTTAGAGCTGTGTGACCCTGGACAAGTCACTTAACCCTATTTGCCTCAGTTTCCTCATCTGTAAAATGAGCTAGAGAAGGAAATGGCAAACCACTCCAGTATCTCTGCCAAGAAAACCTCAGATGGGGTCACTAAGAGTTGGACACAACCCAAATGTTTAAACAAGATACCTCTAGCACGGTCAGATTTAGTTTTCTAGCAATGTCACTGTGCCTGCTCCAGCCATTTCCCTTTACCCCCTTCCCAGTCAAAGGAGAGAAATTCTTTCACGGGTAGGGAAGTAAAGGTACGGGCAGAGAAAGTGGCAAACCTGCCAGTGGAAGCCAGGCATGGCTCCTTCCACATAAACACCAGCTTCCTTTTGTTCGTTCATTATTGGTTTCTCCCTCTTCTGGCTTCTGGCTCTTACTGAAGTGAAGCAGTGGCTGTGGACAGCTCTCCACAGGGACGGCCTCCTGACTGAGGGGTCTTCAGCAGGCCCCTTTATTCAACCATGCAACTGTGTCCGATGCCAGCAACGGTGGTTTCAGTGGCAGTGATGGCCCTGGAGATAATTTCGGGGAAGGAGCACTTTAGTCAACTGTGGACTATCGGTAATCAGTCTTCTGTGTCCTCCTTTCCTGTTGCCTGATACGCCTAAACCTCCAGCAGATACGTTCCCAGTTATAGCTTCCTCTCCACACATTATATTTTGAAAAATGGGGAAGTTGGGTGACTGGAGTCTTTTCTCTGAAGTGGCTTGTTTGGGTTCAGCCCCTGGGGATGGTGGTTGAAGGTTATCGTCAAGGAGCATGGCAGGTGAGGCCCCCAGCTCACCCTACTTTGGAGAGAAAAAAGAGGGAGTAAGTCAGAAACTTGGGGTATTGATTTCAGGCTGGTAATAGATTCTCTGTTCTATGGGGGAATGAGGTAAATAAAGGAAGGGATGCATGTGTGTGTGTGTGTGTGTGTGCGTGTGTTTAAACTCAGTTTTATGTGGTGAAGAAAGAGGGCTCATACTAGGAGAGGGAAGGAGAAGGAGGACAGAAAGAGGAAAAGGGAGAAGAAGAGACAGAGAAACCGAGACCCACCCTGGATCTTCAAAGTTACTTCCATTTCTATCATTCTATGCCTGGCAATGTTAAGAGGCCAGAGGGGCAGTGTTGCTGGGCCCTCTGTGCATGGAGTGCTGGAGGAGAGAAGCCACTAGGTGGCAGCAGCTATTAACAATTCACCCCAGAATGTGGCCCACTCCTTTCAGAAATAAAAATGGTGGGGGTGGGATGGGAAGAAGGGTCATTGAAGCTCCCCAGAAATAGAAGCAGATTAAACTACAGTGACTATGAAGACTGGAGTAGGTCATATTACTATCAGTCAAATGAACCTTCCAGAGTCTAACACTCTCTCCCTCCCTACCTACCCTCCTACAGATGTTCTCTCCCAAAGAGGGCAACTTTCTTCTTTAGGAGCAAATATACCAAGCTCCCTAGTTTCACACGGTGGAGTCAAAAGACCTGGGTTCAAATGCTACCTCCCATCCATGTGACCTTGGGCAAGTTACTTGCCTCTCTGGTCCTCAACTCATCTGTAAAATAAGGTTGAACTTGATGGTCTTTTCTAGTTCTAAACCCTCTAATCCTTATATAATTTTGTTTTCAGTTGTATCCAAGTCTTCATGACCCTATTTTGGGTTTTCTTGGCAAAGATATTGGAGTGGTATGCCATTTCCTTCTCCAGCTCATTTTACAGATGAGGAAACTGAGGCAAACAGGATTAAGTGACTTGACCAGGGTCACACAGCTAATAATGTCTGAGGTCAGGTTTGAACTCAGGAAGATGAGTCTTTCTACCTCCAGGCCTGGCACCCTATCCTAGGTGCCCTGATCCTTATATGATGGCAACTCCCAGTCCAGTACGATCCTCTAACTTCTTCTCTTAGAGGTACCCTTAGGGAAGATGGAGGTAGAGCTAGGTGAAAGAGGGAAAAAAGAAAGAGTAAAATGACTTGGATTTTCCTACATCCTGCTTAGCTTCAGGAGCCTAACCCAGTGGCTCTCAAATTGTGATTCCCTGAGAGTCCCAAAGACCCTTTGGGATCCCAGAAGCCAAAACTATTTTCATAATACTAAGATGTTTTAGTATCTGATATGGCAAATATTGATAGACAACCCACATGAACAAAGGCATTTTGGGGGTGAGAGATCCTCAATAATTTTTAAGAGTGCAAAGGCATCCTTGAAACAAAGAAGTTTTGAGAACTGCTTTCCTAACCTGTGGGTTTTGACTTTGCCCTGAGCCACAGGACAGAATCCTATTAGACCAAAAGTTTTTACACACTGAAACGAGTAGACAAAAACAAAACTGCCCTGCTTAGAGGCCGTCAAGCCCCTCAACAGTGGCCATCAGACTAATTTTCAGCCAACCTTACTCCTTACCCCACCACCATCACAAAAATCAACCTGTGTCTGAAAAAGAAACATGGAGAAGATAGAGAACTGACTTAGGAGCCAGGAAAGCTGGGGTTCAGGTCCTTCCTCTGACATCTGCTGATAGCGTGACCCCAAATAAGTCCCTTAATCTCTCGATGCTTTAGGCCAGAGGTGTGAAACAGGAGGCCAAAGCCCACAGTACTCCCAAAAGCTGCCCAAATCAGGTCAAAATGTAATTGGGAAATAGTTAACAAAATAAATAAAACTATGATAAGACATAGATAATGTGAGTATGTGGTTTTCTAAGTCATCATGTGACCAGCAGGGACCCTTATGTATGGTTCAGTGGCCTCTTGTTTCTATTTGAGTATGACACCATTGCCCGAGGCAGACAACTCTCT